AGAATTAGTGACAAGGAGTGTGACAGATTGGTGGAAAGCATGACAACAAAAATCACTTCTTGGGCATCCAGGCATCTTTCTTATGCAGGTAGAATAAACCTAATTAACTCTGTTCTGTTCGGGATTGTAAATTTCTGGAGTAGTATCTTCATGATCCCCATGAAGGTCATGAGAAAGATCCAGGCACTATGTAGGAATTTCTTATGGGGTTCCTCACATGAATACAAAAAACATCCTCTAGTTGCTTGGGATGAAATCTGCCTGCCAAAGAGGAATGGTGGTCTGGGGATAAAAAATCTTGAATTATGGAATAAGGCAACAATTATGAGACTTAGTTGGGATATTGCCCAAATGAAGGAGAGCCTATGGGTCAAATGGGTTCATGGGAAATATCTAAAGACCAATAACATATGGGAATGCCAAATCAAAAATGACTCATGTTTCTACTGGAAAAAAATGCTAAAGATCAGAAGGTGCTTTGAAGGAATGGAGATGAACAGCCCATACTCTTCAAAAGATGGCTACAAGTGGTTAATTGGGAAAAGACAAGAACCTAACTGGTCTAACATGGTCTGGAACAAGCTATCAATACCCAAGCACAAAATCATATTATGGCTCCTATGCAGGGATAGACTCCAAACCAAGAAAAGACTTAGCAAGTTCATCCCCATGGACACTGCTTGTAGTCTCTTCAGTAATGGAGAGGAAGATAGTGAGCATCTGTTTTGCAGCTCTCAATATACTACCAACATCTATGCTAAGTTATTTGACTGGTGCAACTACAAATTTGAAGGTATTTCAATTGGGGCTATGAATGAGAAAATGATGAAGCTTAGACCCAATAAGCACAGATGGAAGATAAACGCCATCTTCGCAGCATGTGTATATGCTGTTTGGAGAGCGAGGAACTGGAAAATCTACAAACAGATTAGCATTCATGAAGAAGATACCACCAACTGGATTATCTCCCATGTTAGTACTTTTTTTAATGCAAAGGGTGTAATATGAGGTTGGAAATCCATGTAGTACTGTTGAGGTAGTATAGATGTTTACCTGATGGCTCAACTGGCATGTGTTGTATACTTGTTATGAGGTGATTTAATATATTTTTGCTTTCAGTTCAAAAAATAAAATATTTTCTTAAAAACTATGAGAAGTATGCTCTGTGATTGCAGAAAATCACATTTTAAAAAAAGGGTAGAATTTAATATGGAGTACCTTAAGATTGAAAATAAATAAATTTTATCTTTTTAACTATTCTTGAAAGATAAGATGTAAAAAAAACTATGAAAATCAAGATATGATGAACTTACCTTCCTGCTACTCTTGAATTTTTGATAGAAATATATAATCTCACTTTTATAATTTTTCTTTCATCTTTTGCTCTGTAAGCATGTCTTATTTTTCTAGTTTGGAAAATAAAGATGATATAGGAAAAATGCTAATGAATAGTATTCAGTGTATGTAAGAGGAGAGAGTATATAAATCGGATGGTGTATTGTTTAATTGTAAAAAAAATAAATAAATTAAAGGCAAATAATATAAGGATAATATCAAGTACATATAATTGAGACTACCCAGCAACTCCATGTTTAATGAATAATCTTTTTCGTCCTATTATGAATGTATCACCTGCATGTACTTCATGACACATCATATACTCTATATCTTTTATTTATAAATAATAACAATAAAATAAATTACTAATTTATTTGTTTGTTTTCTAGTATATAGAATTTTTAAGATTCCATTTTAATGTGATCATGTCATGGGATTGTTTTTTTAGTTTACGTACTTTTAGGATGCTCCATAATTATTACAAAACATGTTTTTGTTTTGATTCTTTGATTTTTATTCTATAGTACAGAGTAATATTTAATTAAAAAAATTTAATTGGTAATAAATTTAAATTCATTGTTTTGTACAGAGTATTTTATTCCATGGCCAATATCACCAAAAGCGAATTCGACATTCTTGATTTATCCGGTCAAAGGTACCTGGAATGGAGGGTTAATGCACTTGCTCACCTTAAGGCTAATGGCCTCGAAAATAAATTACTGAAAATAATACATCATCATCTCAGCAAAAGGAAAAAGCCATAATTTTCTTTCACCACCATCTTAATGAAAGTTTAAAATCTGAATATTTACTCGTGGAAGATCCGAAGGAATTATGGGATAATCTCCAAGAGAGATAGGACATCAACAAAAGGTCCTACTACCAAGAGCTCAATACGAATGGATCAACTTAAGATTCCAAGATTTTAAGTCCGTTTGTGACTATAATTCTGCTATTTTCAAAGTCACGTCCACATTAAAATTATGTGGACATAATATCACGGATCATGACATGTTGGAAAAAACTTTTTCCACCATGCATATGTCAAATGTGATATTATAGCAACAATACAGAGAAAGGGGCTTTAAAAAGTATTCTGAGTTAATCTCAGTATTACTTGTTGCTGAGCAGAATAATGAGCTTTTAATGAAAAATCATAACATGAGGCCCACCGGTTGTAGCCCTACAAATTTTGGCCATCCTGATCGTGGTTCAGCACCAGAATCAAATATTATACAAGGTGGTGCACACGGACACTTTAAACGTGGACGTGGAAATAACCGCAACAAAGGGCCGAACAGGGGCTATAAAAATCCAAATGTATCATCCTCCAAGGGAAAAGGAAAATTCAAAGCACCACAGGCTAAAACTCATGAAAAGCCAAAACCAAGTGGTGAATGCTATAAATGTGGCATAAAAGGACATTGGGCTAATGAATGTCGAACGGCAAAACACTTGGTAAAATTATACCAATCTTCCATAAAAGGAAAGGGAAAACATGTAGAGGCTAATTATGCTGATGATATCAACCCAATTTTGCCTAAATTTGACGTGTCTGATTTCTACATGGATGATGCTGAAATTGGTGATGAAGTGGCCTTTGGTGGAACTACTACTGTTTAAATATTTTAATTTACGCTGTTATGGTGTGTTTACTTTTAAAATAAATGTTTAAAATCTGTACTTTAATTTTCATGTGTACTTGTATTATTATGTCTGTTCTAAAAAATTATAATAAAATGTATGATATTTGTGTTAATTATCTTGAACTTATATTTATTTATATATTTCTTTATATTCAAGATATGGAGATAACTGCTTATGGCTCCAATGGCAAAGAACAATGTCTAATTGACAGTGCCACAACGCACACCATTTTGAGAAACAAAGAATATTTTTCTCAAATGACATTGATGGAAACTAATGTCAATACAATCTCTGGTGTTGCAAAGCTCATTGAAGGGTCTGGAATGGCGTGTTTAATCCTTCCCCAATGAAGAAAAAATTAATTATCAAAGATGCATTATATTCCAGCAAATCCCGAAAAATTTATTGAGCTTTAGAATATGCGTCAAAATGGTGGTTATCACATTGAAACCATGACAGAAAATCAAAAGGAATACTTATGTCTAACGACAACCAAATCTAGCAATAAAATTCTTTGTGAAAAGATGCCAGCATATTCCTCGGGGCTATATTATACTCACATTAGTCCCGTTGAAGTGAATGTTGTCTCTAATAAAAAATTCGATGATCAGAAAACATTCATTTTGTGGCATGACCGTTTGGGTCATCCTGGCAGTGTAATGATGCACAAAATAGTTCAAAATTCACTTGGACATCCATTGAAAAATATAAGGATTCCAAGATCAATTGATTTTCCATGTGTTGCCTGCTCTCTTGGAAAAATGATTGTCAGGCCATCTTTAAATAAAATTGGAGTTGAATCTCCTGTTTTTTTAGAAAGAATTCAAGGAGATATTTGTGGGCCAATTGCCCCACCATGTGGACCATTTCGTTATTTTATGGTGTTGATCGGCGCATCAACACGTTGGTCACATGTTAGTCTTTTATCTACAAGAAATTTTGCATTTGCAAAACTCCTTGCTCAAATCATATGTTTGAGAGCTCAATTTTCAGATTATTCAATAAAGAAAATCCGACTTGATAATGCATGAGAATTTACATCCCAATCATTTAATAACTATTGCATATCTATTGGGATTGATGTGGAACATCCAGTTGCTCATGTGCACACTCAAAATGGTCTTGCTGAGTCTTTAATAAAGCGATTGCAATTAATTGCTATACCATTATTGATGATATCCAGTTTACCTGGATCTGTTTGGGGATATGTTGTTTTGCATGCTGCAAATTTAATTCGGCTAAGGCCTACTGCAAATCATATTTTTTCCCCATTACAATTGCTAACTGGAAAAGAACCAAATATTTCTCACATAAAAATATTTGGATGTGCCGTATATGTACCAATTGTGTAACACCCCAATCCGTATAACCCGGAATTACACGAATTAAAGTGAAACGAGGGTTAATTAAAAATTTCGCTTGACATTTGAAAATGACAATTTCTTATAAACTTGAATTACAGACTCTGGATCACAACCCATTTAAAAATATTTTCAGAGTAATGCAGAAGTACAATAATAATTAAATCATGACACATTTAAAATCTTTGATGATCAAACATTTTCCTGCCATCCTTGCATCTCCTCTGACTCAATGCCCTCCGGGAGTGGTTCCGTAATCGTCCTCTTGTTACCTACGTGTAGTCAACGAAAAATACAAACTACACGCTCAGCGAAACCGCTGAGTGGTACCACACTAGAATTGTAGAACAATTCATAGACATATACATATACATATATATACGTCCACAAAATGTATAATAATATTCATGATCTGGCACATTATATCATATAATCAATTTGATTATTCATGATGATAAATATTTAATGATAATTACATGATGGCACATTTAATCAATTTGATTGTTCTTGATGATAATTACATGACACCTATGTAATTAATATAATTGTTCTTGATGATGATTACATGGCACCTATATAATCAATATAATTATACTTGATGATGATAACATGATGCATGAACCTATAACCCGCAAGGACGACTCTTGCACTATGAGATTCGCCCATTTGGTATGACGAACTCATGTACGTACACTAAGCCCAAACGTGTTATGTCAGACTGCTAAGTCCCGCACAATCACGCTATAAGAGACGCACGAGGCATGATCTCTTACGCATGCATATGATGTGATATGCTTCAATATGAATGATGAAATGAATGACACGATGTGAACAATTTGCAAACAATATGAATCTATAATCATACATTAATTTATTTGGGTGAAACATGATTAAATTATCATTTAAATAAGCTACGGGGCTCGGAACGGTCGACCGTTTGGCACGGCGGTCGACCTTGATCTTCACTTTGTCGGATTGCCGGATCACCATGACGGTCGACTGCGGTTGACTGGAGGTCGACCGTTGTGGACTAGCTGGAAGTGACGGCCCTCGGCTGGACAGGCGGCGGTCGACCGTTCTGCTGACAGTCGCGGTCCGTTTCAAAGTTTTAACACGACGGTCAACCATTTGCATCGACCGTTTGGGTATGCGAATCTTACTTTTGATATTTTGGGTGTCTAAATTACTTCTTAAAGTCTTTTAAGCACCTTTGATTTACACACACACACACATATATATATATATATATATATATTGTTGGGTTGATTTCCATGGTTTATATCTACTTATGTGTATATTAACTTTATGGATTTGGTATATTTTGATGTCAACATATAGATGACTTATATATGTATCACATATACATTTTGGAGATAGTTTTAACATATGGAATAACATATATGTTCATGTATGTATGTGATGAATGATTCGACAAGTCTAACGCAAAGGTACAGACCTAGAAATCATCGACCGAAACCTTACGGATGAGCGGGAGTGGAAACAACATCGAAATTTTCCAACTTTGTCATTTCCGTCACAACTGGACAGCCTGCGGTATTTTGGGCATATCTCCAACGTTTCTTCACGGAATTGTAAACCGTTTGATTCTGTGGATTCTTAAGATGTAAGGCTATAACTTTCGTATAGAAAGTATTTCGAATTAACAGATGTAAAATAGTGTAAATTGGACCTGAAGTCAAAGGATAGTTGTTGTCCAGGATTTTGGATATGACGATGAACAACGATTCCGACGATTAACTCATTAACTTCAATATTCCAACACCGAACCTTCTCTACGATACCTTCCGGATGTTCCTAATAATCGTCAGAGAGTTTATGGTAAGTGTTTGGAATGAAACAACATGAATATGGTGAGGAAAATGGTCCAACCCGAGAAGCTCGCCACCTCTGGCGCAGTCCCGGTATTTTTGTCATATCTTCTTCGTTACTTAACGAAATCGCGAGCCGTTTCTTGGGCTGGATTTGTATAGTCCGAGGCTACGATTTTGGTATAATAAACGTTTTGATAAAATGAATGGAAAATTTCAGAATTGACTCACAAGTGGACTGATTGTTTTATGCTCAGGATTTTGGGAACCTTGATACTTCTTCTTGTTTCTCCTTCTTCTTTCTTAGCTCAACAATGGAGATGGAGTCTCCTTTCTTCTTCCTTGAGGGATGGCCTACAGAGAGAGAGGGATGGTGCGGAGGAGAGATGATTGGTGATGTGGGATGGTGGAAGATGATGATGATGTTATGGTGTGGTTTTGGGAGTATTATATAATTATTTGGAGTGTTGTAGTGTAGTGGGTGGAGTGAGGTAGTGGAGAATGATTTAAGGAGATTGTGGAAGATATCTTTATGTGATTGGAAGATTTGGGGAATTAAAATATTCTCCTACTCCGTAACTGATAAACTGACTAAAACGGTACGCGCTTTTTCGCCCAAACTGTTCCGAATTGAAAACGGATTGTGTTTTTGGAAACAGACTGTCAAAACTAGAATTTTGACGTAATCAAAATATTTTTCTGAGAACTTTTATTTTTCTTAATGTTTTGGTCTGTCTCAGTCATAAATAAATTTTATAGTATGAATGAGATATAAATATATGAATTAAATCCAAATGATAAATATGGTGTTGTCAAGTGCCCAAGATTATTATTTCTAATATTGTGAAATCACTTTTTAATTGAGTTTATTTTATGGGACAAAGTTACAAATTTTAATATTTAAAATTGACATAGCCTGAAATCTATAAATCAGATTGGTTCATAGAATGTACCGTTGAATTTGTCTCTTCAAGACATATCCATAAAAATAAGTTTTTAACAAAAAGTCATATTTTTGAAAATCCATTTATTTTTGGTCAAACGTATTAATATTACTTATTGGACCAAAAACTACTTTTGTTTTATAATAAATTTTAGGGCATGTTTTGTGGCGTTACAAATTGCTCCACCACATCGTACAAAAATGGGTCTTCAAAGAAAGCTGAGAATTTATGTTGGCTTTGATTCTCCCTCAATTATAAAATATCTTATTTATTCACAGCTCGGTTTGTTGACTATCATTTCAATGAGACAGTATTCCCAGCCTTAGGGGGAGAAAATGAGAAAAAGGACACATGTACGAAAGAGATTACATGGAATGCAACATGATTATCTTTTCTTGATGCAAGAACAAATGCATGTGAACAAGAAGTGCAAAAGATAATTCATTTACAAAATGTTGCAAATCAGTTACCTGACGCATTCACGAATTCAAAGAAAGTGACAAAGTCACATATCCCTGCGATGAATGCTCCTGCCAGAATTGAAATTCCTTTAGAGAAAAATGAAAAACTCTTGCAAATGAGTCTTCAATACGCAAAAAGCATGGCAGGCCACTTGGTTCAAAAGATGTAAAACCAAGAAAACTTAAAAGGAAAGAGACAATATTTGAAACAAAAGATGTTCATTCTTCAAGGAAAAAATGAACAAACCGAGCATGTTGATATAAAAAATAATATCAACGAACAATTTGTTTCAAATGGGGATTTAACAATCTCTGAAGATACGAATAATTCAGATGAAGATAGAAATGTTGATAATTATGACATTTCAATAAATTACGTTTCTATGAGATTACAATGGAACAAAAAAGATGTTTATGTAGATGATATATTCGCATATGCCATTGCCACAAACATCATGGATGAAAATGATGACATTGAGCGAACTTCAGTTGATGAATGTCGACGTAGACATGATTGGCCAAAATGGAACGAAGCAATTTAGGCAGAATTGGAATCACTTGAAAAACGAAGTGTGTTTGAGCATATAGTTCTTACGCCAAAAGGCGTGAAACCAATTGGTTTCAAATGGGTTTCTGTGCGTAAGCGCAATGAGAAAAATGAAATTGTGAGATATAAAGCCCGACTCGTTGCCCAAGGTTTTTCTCAAATCCCGGGGATAGATTATGAAGAAACTTATTCCCCAGTAATTGATGCAACTACGTTGAGATTTTTTATAGGCATGTGTGTCTTTGAAAAACTTCAAATCCGTTTAATGGATGTAGTGACAGCATATTTATATGGATCTCTCAATACGGACATATATATGAAAGTTAGTGGAGACCTTAAATTGCCTGAGGTTTATAGTTCCAAACCTCGAGAGATGTTTTCCATAAAATTGGAAAAGTCACTATATGGACTAAAACAATCTGGCAGAATGTGGTATAATCGTCTCAGTGAATATCTGCTCAGAGAAGGATACAAAAATGATCCAATTAGTCCATGTGTTTTCATCCGTAGATCTAAATCAAACTTTGCCATTATTGTAGTATATGTTGATGATTTAAACATCATTGGAACTTCTGATGAAATAGAAAATACTGCAAAATATCTCATGAAAGAATTTGAGGTGAAAGATCTTGGGAGAACAAAATTTTATCTTGGTCTTCAAATTGACCATTTGAATGACAGAATATTCATCCACCAGTCAAATTACACGAAGAAGGTTCTAAAGCGGTTTTATATGGATAAAGCATATCCTCTCACATCCCCGATGGTTGTCCGCTCTCTCAATGTACATGATGATCCGTTCTGACCTCGTGAAGATGGTGAAGAAATTCTCGGTCCAGAAATACCATACTTGAGTGCTATTGGAGATTTCATGTATTTAGCAAACAACACTCGACCAAATATTGCATTCTCAGTGAACTTGTTATCTAGACACAGCTCGACCCCGACTAGGAGGCATTGGAATGGAATTAAACACATTTTGCGATATCTCAATGGTACCATCGACCCTGGTTTATTCTACCGCAAAGATGCCAAGGCCACTCTTGTTGGATATGATGGTGTAGGATATTTATCTGATCCGCAAAAAGCAAAATCTCAAACAGGATATGTGTTTACTTATGGAGACACCGCAATATCATGGAGATCGATGAAGCAAACTTTGACTACCACATCATCAAATCACGCGGAGTTGATAGCTCTCTACAAAATAGGTAGAGAATGTGTATGGTTGCGATCAATGATCCAACATATCCAGAGCAGGTGCGGTATAGAAACAATTACTTGTTATCCGACTCCTATATATGAAGGCAACACTGCATGCATTGCTCAGGTGAAAGGAGGTTACATCAAAAGAGACCGAACAAAGCACATATCACCAAAGTTCTTCTCAACACATGATCTCGAAAAAGATGGAAAGGTTGACATCAAGCAAATCAAGTCCAGTGAGAACCCCGCTGATTTATTTACAAAAGCGTTGCCCCCAAAGAAATTTGAAGAACTCGTGCACAAGATTAGCATGCGTCGCCTCCGTCAATTATGCTAAGCTGAGGGGGCGAATTTTATGAAGTGTACTCTTTTTCCCTTGATCAGGTTTTTATCCCACTGGGTTTTTCCTGACAAGGTTTTTAACGAGGCAGTACATAAAACTAGAATGGGTTACTAAACTATGCCCATTTACGAAATACCCATCATTAATTGAAAAATGAACATTCAAGGAAGAGTGTTATGAAATTAATGATTGTTCATTTATTCAATTAATCAGGCCTACTTTCTAGAATAGTAGATTAAGACACCCATTGATGAGTATCAATTTTGTACAGTCCTTCCCACTTGTATTTGTATTCATACCAAACATCTCCACTATAAATAGAGGCCTAACCCCTGCATTGTAATCACCATTAAGAATAAGAAGAAGAGTGAATAATTAATAGAGAGAAGAAATCAGAAATATATTATATCTATTCTCTTAATCTCTGGGTAGTTTTTCTCTCATTATACAACATTAAAGAAATATTTTAGACATCCAAAAATATCAAAATTAAGATTTGCAGACCCGAACGGTCGACGTAAACGGTCAACCGTCGCGTAAAACTTCGAAACGGACCACGACTGTCAGACAAACGGTCGACCACCGGTGGCAAACGGTTGACCGCCGCTTGTCCAGCTGAGGGCCGCCGTTCCCAGCAAAACAACAATGGTGGACCGCCGGTCAACCGCCCGTCACGGTGTTCCGGTAGTCCGACGAAATGAAGAACAAGGTTGACCGTTGTACCAAACGGTCGACCGTTCTGAGCCCCGTAGCTTATTTAAATGATATTTTAACCATGTTTCACCCAAATAAATTAATGTATGATTACACATTCATGTTGTTTACAAATTGTTCATATCATATGATTAATTTCATCATCCATATTGAAGCATATCACATCATATGCATGCGTAAGAGATCATGCCTCGTGCGTCTCTTATAGCGTGATTGTGCGGGACTTAATAGTCCGACATCACAGGTTCGGGCTTAGTGTACGAAATGCTGTCTTTGGGATGAATCATACAGCATCATGATTATGTATGACATCAATTACGTATCATTATCATCATCTTGAACATTGCTATAATATGCCATATCATGAATAATTGTATGTTTACTTGCTATTCAACTTGGAATTGTTGTATTAGCGTATTCCTCAGCTGACGCTGAGCGTGTAGTTTGTTTTTTACTTGCTACACGCAAGTAACAATACTGATCATGGAGCCCATCCCGGAGGTCAATGAGAGTGACGAGATGTACGGATTGGTGGACCACAATTAATATGCTTTATTTTAATATATACCTTTTCGGGCGAGTTCCTAGAAAATGTAATACGACTTGATTATGTTTTATGTTTAAGCTTCCGCACTGTTTTAACATTACTCTGAAATTTAATGTTTGAGATTTTCATTTATATTAAAGTTTAATTGGTTTTAAATTATTCCTCAAATTATCATGCGAAATTACCCTCATGGTAACTACTCCAGCCTAAATAATCTAGGTAATCGGGTTCTTCGAACATGTTTGAGTTCTTCCAGCAGATGGCTGGAGCACATGCACCTCCACCACCACCTCCTGTACCCAACATCTCGATTGAGAAACTCAAAAGGAATGGAGCCCAGGAATTCTGCGGCGACCAGATACCAAATCCTCTGATAGCCAAGCGTTGGCAAGAACGCATTGTGAGGGTACTGGAGAATTTGAAGGTACCTCTCGAGGATTGGGGACAACACGCCATATCCCTGTTGCAGGATGCCGCCTATGATTGGTGGAAGCGAGTGGGCACCAACATTCCCGTGTCGGTACCATGGGATACCTACGTCGAGACCAAATATAAGGAATTCTCCAAATTCACCCAGGGGAAGCTGGCTCTTCCCGAGTACCGTCAGCAGTTTGACGGGTTGGCCGAGTTTGGTAAAGACTTGGTCAACACCATGGAGAAGCGCTGCAAGAAGTTCATCAAGGGTATGAGACCAGACCTTTCATCATCACTCATAATTGTTCCTCGAGCCCACATCAATGATGTCTACAAGAAGGCTCTTGAGCTTGTTGAACAACTTACGCACCTCTAGAGGGGGGGTGAATAGAGGTGTTCTTCAAAAATCAAAACTTTTGGAAGATTAAACAAAAAATTCGCAGGATTATGCCAACCACAAGAAGACGAAGAAGAAGAGAAGGAACAACACACGATGTATACTGGTTCGGCCTAAATGCCTACATCTAGTCCCCGAAGCAATTGTGCCCAGGCCTTCACTAACCCGTCAAACTTAACGGAGTTTGACAATCCAAATACAACTCGAGAACTTGATTTCACAAGCCTCTTATCTTACCACCGAAGTTTTGATTTCACAAAACTCAGGATTTCTTCCACCTAACGTTTGATTTCACAAACCATTAGGATTTCTACCACTTGGTGTAATCCCAACACCAAGAATACAAATCCCTTACAATAAAGTAAGAAAACAAACCGCAACCGTGTAATTCTCCCAACACGGAGTAGATTGTTGCAGATACAATGAAGTCCTTTAGAATATGACAATATCTCTTTAAGACTCAAGCAATGAGAAAAAACTCAAGCAAGAAATGATTTAGCAATGAAAGCAATTGCCTTGCTTGGATATAAGGAGGGGATTGAGTAGAATCTCTTTGGATATTCAAAGGATATGTTCTTCAAAGTGTTCTAAGTGCTCTTATGAAGATAATCACGAAAGTATGTAGTTTATAGAAGTTAGGGAGTGGATAGGGATGAAAAGCATTCAAAAAACTAGCCGTTTGGTAGTTGAAATTGTCGACTTGTTCGAATAACTCAAGAACTATTCGAATAGTTTGGATCAATCGCGTGGCTTGAAAAAACCAGTTCCTATTCGAATAAATGGTGATTTATTTGAATAAATCAGGTTGAAAAACTATGACTTATTCAAATAAATGAGGTTGATTTCAGTCACAGGAAAGATCACGACCTATTCGAACAAACTAAAGATTATTCGAATAGAAAAGCAAATTCCCCACACAAAGGCTGATCTAAAATGTGTTTTAAAGGTAGGATGATAAGGGAATGAACCTTAGAGATGCCGTACTCTTTAACACATAATCTAAGACCTAAAACACTACCCAACTAAGGAAACAACCTCTTCGGTCTCGTTCCTTCCACCGATGCTCAAGTCCCTTCTTCATGGACAGATATGAACTTGTTGTAGCTTTGATTCTTAGCCTTGATGCACAAAATGATGATGATGTTTTGTCACCCTTTTGTTATTATCAAAACCTAAAAGACAATGGGCAAAAGACATTGCAAAAATATATATTCATGATAGCACATTGTCCAACAGAGCTGAATGAGGAGCTAATCAGAAAGCTGCATACGATCAAGCATTGCTGGCAGAAAGTCGGGCTGTCCAATCGGGCCCGAAAATGAGGCATGGTAGCAAGAGGACCTTCTCCGCACCGAGCAACTCTCGCCATGATAAGCGAGCGAAATCTACTCCCTTTGCATCTGTTGTTGTCACTAGTAAGAGCGGGAAGGAGAAAGTGGCATATCATAATCCTATATGTTCACTCTGTGGCTGCAGGCATTTTGGTGAGTGTTGGTTCATGCTGGGACTTTGCCTCTGGTGTGGTCAGGCAGGTCACTTCCGGAAGGATTGCCCGACGAACCCAGGTGAGGTCTTCTCTACAGCACCAGGCACGCTGACTCCTCCTACTGTCCGACGGGCCAAGCCTACCCAGAGTCAACGTTCCACGGCTGCTTCTAACCAGCCAAAGAGGCCAACACCCAGTCAGCAACAAGGACGGGCACCAACTCGTACGTATGCTATGCAACGGCGTTCACTTTATTTGATATCACTGTATCTGCATTAATTGACCCTGGATCTACCTTATTATACATATGTGTACCTATGCTTGTTACATCTGACGCCCCTAAGGAAACTCTCAAGCATCCAGTAGTTGTGTCAAATCCACTAGGACACAGTCTACGTCTCCAACATGTCTATAATCAATGTCCGTTGATGGCTCAAGGAAAGGTATTCTTAGCCGATCTCATTGAACTCCCTCACAAGGAGTTTGACATTATACTTGGCATGGACTGGTTGACAAAACACCAGGCTATTGTTGAGTGCAAGGAACAAGTGGTGAAACTTCGTACAGATGACGGTAACGAAGTGATCATTCGGGGAGAGCTTCTGCCGAAAGCCCCGGAATTCATCTCTTATATGCAAGCAAAACGGCTCATTCGTAGAAAATGTGAAGCATTCTTGTGTACTGTTAAGGATATACAGAAGGAAACACCTAACCATAAGGACATATCTGTGGTTTGGGACTTTCCTGATGTATTTTCTGAAGAACTTTCTGGTCTACCTCCTCCAAGGGAAGTAGAATTCTCTATTGATCTTGTACCTAGTACAGGACCTATCTCAACATCACCTTATCGAATGGCCCCTGCAGAAATGAAGGAATTGAAAGCTCAACTGCAGGAGTTGTTAGATAAAGGCTTCATCTGTCCTAGTGTTTCCCCGTGGGGAGCACCTGTCCTTTTCGTCCGTAAGAAAGATGGATCTATGAGATTATGCATAGGCTATCTTCAGCTGAACAAAGTGACGATCAAGAATCGTTATCCATTACCCCGTATTGATGATCTGTTTGATCAATTACGAGGTGCAACCATATTCTCAAAGATCGATCTTAGATCCGGTTACCATCAGATTCCTGTGAAATCAGAAGACATCCCAAAGACAGCATTTCGTACACGTTATGGATCTCATGAATAGTGTCTTCAGACAGTATCTGGATCAATTTGTTGTGGTCTTCATTGACGATATCTTGGTGTACTCAAAAACACCAGAGGATCATGCTGAGCATTTGCGCATCGTGTTGAGTATTCTGAGAGAGCATAAGCTTTATGCAAAACTTTCTAAATGTGAATTTTGGCTAAATGAGGTCACTTTTCTCGGTCACGTGATTTCCGCTGAAGGAGTCAAAGTTGACCCATGCAAAATTTCAGCAATCACCGAGTGGAAAACTCCACGCAATACACGTGAGGTACAGAGTTTTCTTGGACTCGCTGGTTATTATCGTCGTTTCGTGAAGGATTTCTCATGAATCGCTTCACCACTTCATAAATTGATGAAGAAGGATGTCAAGTTCGCTTGGACAGAAGCTTGCAAGAAAAGCTTCGAATAGTTGAAAGAATGTTTGACTCAAGCACCTGTGTTAATTCAACCGACACCTGGTACTAAAGGTAGGCACGCCTATTATGTTGTTGAGAAATATTGACCATTCAATGAGTTTATGTAATGGTACACGCTTGATAGTAACCCGGTTGGCTAACACTCAATACAAGAAAAAATATTATCAAGAAGCCACATGGGTGAAGAAGTTGTTATTCCAAGACTATCATTAACACCGTCCGATACAAGAATTCCTTTCAAGTTTCAAAGAAGACAATTCCCTGTGGTTACTTTGTACGCAATGACGATTAACAAGAGCCAGGGACAATCTCTTAAACATGTTGGACTACTGTTGCGGAAACCTGTGTTTAGTCATGGACAGCTCTATGTTGCAGTTTCAAGAGTAACTAATCGTAGTGGATTGAAGATTCTGATAGTGCAATGAAGATAATACTCCCACAAAGACTACAAATAATGTAGTTTATAAAGAAGTCTTTCAAAATTTGTAAAACATTGATGTTCTATACCTTAAAATAATATAATCTCTATATTCTATTGCATTTCATTTTTTATCATTAAAAATGATCTGAATTTAATAACATAAAAATGACCCGTGCAACGCACGGGTGTGATACTAGTATTAATAAGCCAACCTCAAAGAGACCTATCTTTTCCCTCCACATCACCGCTCTATCTCCTAAAAGTCATGAGGTTCCCATGCAAAAAACAACACAAACCAAAAGAAATAGAAGTACATATGAAGAAAGGGGCATGATGGAAAGGCTAAACGAAATATCTACAAGTTTCAAAGAAATCTATAGCCTGCTAGATAAAAGAGAAAGAGCGAGAGAATATACAATTTAGGATGTCATCAAGGATACCCTGGGCTTGGATGAGGATACACAGTTTAAGGCGGTTAAGTTGCTAGATAACAAAGGAAAAAAAATATCTTCTTAAACTATCACCTGAAGAATGGCTAAGTTGGATACACGAGAAGATGAGATGATAAAATGAGAAGATATATTAAGATGAATGAAAGGATTTCGTGACTTTATTTTAAATGTGTTATGTGACTTTATTTTGGTTGAGTGTTAAAAGTACTCGTGGTTTAATAAATTATTTTTGGGTACTTGTGGTTAATTAAATTGTTTTAAAATACATTTGGTTTAATATCTTCTTCTGGTACATATACACTCGTATTGTAGTTTTGTATTACATATTTATGGTACATAATCATATTCTATTTTTTCCCTGTTAAATATACTTTGTTTTTATTTAAAAGATATTATGTTTTTTCTTTGGTAATCGATAAATAAAAGAAGAAGTGATAGAGAGAGCTATATTATATAATAATTTTATTTTTAATTTTTCTTTATATTTTTGAGTAATGTCTTCTATCATTTATGTTGTCTTTTATTTTTATTGATAAAATTTTACATCCACGAAAAATAGTTTAGAGACAATAATGCTTTGAGTTTCGAAATAAATTTATTGCTTATGATAATGATCAATATATTTTTCTATACTAATAAATTTATAGTAATGATAATAATGTTTAAAAAATAATTTATTTTTATTATATTATATTATTTTTTAATTTAAGTTTTTGATCAAGTTTATAAATATAATTAATGTTAGAGTAATGTATGAATTCTTAAAATAACTCAAATGTATATATAAATAATCCATGAATTATAAATAATCTACTAGAATCCTATGAAATCCTGTTGATAAAATACAGTAAAATCTATCTACTTTGCGTAAACTCTAAATAATCCATTGATTTTACAGAATCGATAGATTCTAAACAATCTATCAAAATCTTATAAAATCTAGATGGAATACACCCCCTAAATTTCCACCAAATAAGTATGATTTAAATTTACTAAAATATAACAAATGAAAATATATAATTAATGAAGTAATAATTTAACATTTTAGTGGTAGCGGTTTGGTTTTAATTTTTGTTTGAGAACCAAACCGACCCATCTCGTACCATTTAGTTTAATTCATTTCAAAAATACTTCTTTCGTTTATAAAAGATTGCCATAGTTTGACTTTTTTTGTCAAATTGTGGTACTCTATGACCGCGAATTATAGAAAATTATATTTAGTTATAATACAAATTTAGTAAAATAAAATTTATATTAAAGTATAATATTAAAATATCAAATTTTTATAATATTTTATTATTTAGATTATATTTAATTCGTGGTAGAACAAAATAAATTGGTGTCACCCTCGAGCTGAACACAATGGAAATTAGCCCAAATGAGATCCGGTCCAATTGTACGATTAGGGCACTACCCCGAATAGACTACGGAGCATAAATACATCAAGAGAGGTCCACGGCCATAAAAAATCTCATTAGTTTAAGTATGAGGCTGAGGCAGTTCCACTCTGTGGTGTTGCTCCGCCGATGATCATTCAAACAACCCATCCCGCCGGCAAAAAACTTCGCTGTGATGATTCGGGATTTCAGGATTCTGAGGTGAAACTTTGCTGAAATTGGCGTGGCGACTCGGTAATTTTCTGAAATTCCCATTTCCTGAGATTTACTGTGTAGCAGCCATCGGCGATTCACATCTTAGTCTCCGAAAGACCGCCAAATCTGAGCCCGTTGAGGAGGCACTTTGCAGGTTTTTTTAGGGTGGTTGATCTCCCCACATAAGAACTATGGCATAACGTTGTATCAACAACCCTAGAAGGATGTTTGTTTGGTGCTGGATTAATTTCCCTTGAAAATGTGAAGTTAACCTGATTAATTCTTGGGTTGATGGATTTATGGGGTTAGAATTATCCAAATGCCACTCAAACTTCCCTGATTTATTATATATATATACTCCCTCCGTTCCAATTTAACTTCGTTGTCGTGGTGATATCTTGGCTTAGACTCTTCATCCTAGACTCGTAGTGTTATGGTTTTCCCAAACAGGCCCTAAATACAGCAATCATAGAGTAGTGAGTACATTACTCTAAACACTAGAGAATCTAGAGGCTGTGATGATCACCAATTGAATTCAAGAGTTTCAATCATGACCCGTGTCATGGCGTGGCAGATGAATTTCTGCAGCCACTGTGGGATTGGTTGTCACATAATCTGTTTGAGAAAAGGCGAATCTGAGCCGCATAACATCTATCTTTCAATAGGATTTGAATTGGATGAATTCATTTCCACCACTTTATTCAATGAGCTTAAACGCAATTAGTGTCTTTTGATAATAAATACCTTTTTAACTAAAGCTTCATTTGGCATTAGCTTGAGCATATCGATAGGACTAATTGGTTTTTTTTCAATTCATAGTGCTTATTTTTTTAATGAACTTCCAGCTTTAACCCTTTAATTGTTTCCCCCTCTAATCCTCCAGTCTCATCATTCACTATATTCTTAAGACTTGTTTGTGTATCTTTCTCGAGCCTCTTATTCAGTTATTCATTGAAAATATAAGTTTGAAGTTCACAAGTCATTTCGGAACCTTGAAATGAGAAGCTTACCAATAATTTAGGGCATTTGCAGGTATCACGTGCTACCAAGTGCAGGCTCCAATCTTTGTTATCAATTTGCGATTAAAGTTTAATTTATCTTCTTTCAATAACTGTATGATTGGATTTGGGAGCCTCGAGTATGGGGCTCATTTTTTTTATAGCAAAGCATGCTATGTTCAACTAAGAGTTGTTGGTTTCAGAAGGGTGTCTCAGCCTTCCCAAAATATTGTATTGATTGAGTCTAATTTAGAATATCTTAAATGTGCAGCTCATTGCTATTTGAATACAGACCAATTTGGCCCAAAATATTTAAGGGTCCGTTTGGTATAAGGAATTGGTGGAATTGGAATTGAAATTTCATGGGATTCAATTCAATAGAATTGAATTTTGTCAATTTTAATTCATTTTTTGGACTATCAATTCTAAATCCACATAATTTTTGTGCTACCAAACACCAGAATTGAAATTGAAGTCCCCAATTCCAATTCCATAGTTTGAATTTCATGTACCAAACGGAACCTAAGGGCATTTCTATTGGTATAAACGTGTCTGCAACTTATGAACTTCAAAATAGTCCCTTGACATCCTGTCCAAAATATTGTGTTGATGGAAACACGTTTGTTTGGTGTGAACTGTAGAGAATCAAATTTAGCCAGCTATGATGGGATCAAGGTGCATCATTTTTTTTAAATGAACAACATAAATAAATTGAACTTTTGAGGTTTTGTTATTTTTTGCTTTAATTCATTTTTGTCTTTGGAACTTACTCTGTTTTTTTAAATTTTTAGTTATGATAGTTTTCATTTATTTATTGAAAAATTGTGTTTAGCCTGTATATTTTTTCCTTGCTCTGTGCATCAAGTCTTAGTCATGAAAATTCTATTTTATTAAAAGCTCTGCGATAATTGTGAGATATTGGAAGTATTTGCTAAAAAAACCCTTTCAAGTAAAATGGGCCGACTCTTTTCACAAATACTCCTGTTTTATAATGGTCCTGTTTTTGTTTACGATATTTGATTGATTTTATTTTTAATTTAATTTATTTGATTGTAGGTGTAAAATTAAAAAATAAAATTTATATATTAGAAAACTATATCAAAAGTTTTACAAAATAAGTGGTGACAAGATTATATTACTTTATCAAATATTTAATGAAAATAGATAAAGTGGTTAAAGTTTGACCGTGTAAAAAGTAATTGGGAAGAACATTTTAGGACGGAGGGAGTAACTTAGTAAGAGACCGTCACTAAACACCCAATAATGTGTCATAGAGTTTGCGAAAGAGAGAAAGACCAAAGTAGGACTAAAATATTGAAAATATACCAAAATAAGACTTCTATGTTTTTATCTACGAAATAGAACTTATATTACTATACATGGTCATATACATTATCCAAAAAGTATAGTAATTTGCACATGTACACTGCCACATTACAACAAAGCAAAGTTACATTTTCACAGTGCAAAGTTTTATTTCGAAAAAAAACATGAGAGTCTTATTTTGGTACTTTTTCTCTATGTTTTAGTCCTATTTAAGGTGATTTCTATTTGTGAAAACACTTCTAAAATCTCTAATTTGCCAATAAGGCTATAAAAATTGATTAATATGATTGTGAAAATGAGATTTAATCCATGTTCTTTTGGGTTGAGAAAATTAATTTACAACTTCTTTCAATGTTTTAGTTTTTTTACTATTTTTATTTCTTTTCAATTTCTTCCGGTTATTTTTAATAGTAATTTAAAAAAATTATTTATATATGATAAATATACAATAATATTATATATCTAAATTAACAAAATATCACATCAAACATGAATAAGAATGAATTTTTTTAATCTAAAATTAGAGTTTTTTATGTATTTATTTGAGTGATCATTTAATTTAATTTTTTTAACACTTTAATAATATTCTCTAACTCTTTTTAGTTTTATTCAAAAAAAATTGCTGGATAGAAGTAAAATAGTATGAATATCAAAATAAGAATCTTTAGTCTTTTAAGACTAAAATAGAAATATAATGACAATGTCGTGTTAGAGTACGCATTAACAGTATGATAAAAAAGTGATGGTAGTATAATATCAATGTGATTAGTCAATCATCGGTGATTCGCGATGGCACTGCAGTGGCCGGCGGTGACGGATGTCAGTGTGACGATAATAGTGCGACAATTACAATGTGACGATGTGATAATTGATATTTTTTTTATAGTTTTTATTGTTAAATATTATTCATATTTAGTATTGTAGATTGTTCCATGCATGTAATTGTCTCTCTAACTTCCAGCTATTGTAACTCCCTAGGATATTATATATCTCCCTGTGATCTCTCTTGTTTTAGTGGTGTAGAAATTTATGCTTTGTTTCATGGTGTCAGAGCCTCTCTCTCCACTCCCTAATCTTTCTTCTCCTTTGCTCACCTCCTGTGCCTGCTCTTCCTCTCCCTCCCTGCTGTTCCTGATCGGCTCTCCCCCTTGCTGTCTCTTTCTTCCTTCGCAAAACACGATCTAGGTTTGATCTATTTCTACAAATCTATAACTTTTCTCCCTATATAAATTCAAAGATATATTAATACAAAAATCATTAGTGATCTAATGATTCTTTTTCCTCACACTAATTTTAAAAACCTAAATTACCGACCTTATAATTATATACTCCCTCTAAACTTGAGTATTTGTCCACTTTCGACTATTTTTTGTCAAAATTGGTAAATTTTGACCTCAGATTAAATAAAAATGATTAGATATTGATACAAAATTAGTTTTATTTGATTTATTATATCAAATATTTTCAAAATATTATTTTATCTACTTATTATATAATATATATTTTATTTAATTATAAGTCAAATGTTGTAAACAGATAATCAGAAAAAGTAAAAATTATCATTCTTTCTTGCATTATTAAAAAACCAAATCTTAAAAATTTTCTCTGTGAATAAAAATTTTAATTTTAAAATATTAAGAATCATTTATTCTTCTCCCCCACATTGATTTTAAAAAACATTAAAATGGTAGTGCTCCAATTATTTTGTCGGAATAGTATTCTGGCCAAGATATAAAATATTCTATCAAAATACAAATAGTTACTGATGGGAAATAATACGTGGCTCGGCCCACATTTCCCAATTATTTACGAAGAACAGTCTAATCGGGCTTATTTAATAAAATAGAGGAATAAGAGAATATTCCTCCGAAGATGCTCCCCCTTTCTCCTATAAAAGGAGGGGTGCCCCCAATGTGAAGAGGAGGTCATTTTCACTTCTCTCCCCGCCCACTTTTTTCTCTCTCTACAAAGTTCTTAGAGTATATATTTTTCTTCTTCTTTAAGAGTTCAAAAGATCCATTAATGGCTTCCTAGCCTAAATTATGTACCGTGTACACACCCCCGATATTAATAAAAATCCCCCGTTGGCAAGGTACCGCCAAAAAAGGCCCGTGGTTTTCTCCCGATTAAGGTTTCCACGTAAAAATACCTGTGTTTATATTTTGGTATATTTTTAGACTAGTTTATCGTTTTAGCCGGGCTAAAAACAATATACTGGTCGATAATTTACACCATCATTTTGGCACCGACCGTGGGACCTAAACAAAAGGCCATGGAATTTTCAATTCCTTCACTTCATTTTTCAAGGGAGAACAAAAAAAAAGAGGGGAGAAAAGTAAAAAGGAAGAAGAATCCAAAAGGCTCGTTGCTGTCATGGCCAAATCTAGCCCAAATGCCATCCGTGGAGCTATAATTCAACCTCTCAATCATTTAATGGTAACATGATTAATTTCTCCAGATCTCTGATCGATAGGAGATGAAGATCAAGCTGGAATTGTTCTTCTCGGGCTGCTTCAAGCAGATGCGGCCGGAAACCATGCCGGCGGCGCCAATAAAAACAAAGGAGGAGCCGGCCCTGGCGGTGAGCATGCGTCGTCATTTCACCAGGGAAGGATCTCGGCGTCGGACTTCAGCTCCTCCACGCTCTCGGAAGATCTGTCCATTTTGCTGGCGGACTCCAACGTTCACGCGTTCACGCCCCAGGAGCTGCGCGTCACCATTCAGAGCTCCTCCAGCGCCAAATTCATCAGCCAAGGCGGGTTCGGCCCAGTCCTCAAGGGGTTCATCGATGGTCGGCTCAGACTGGGCTTTGCCGTTAAGCTACTTGATTTGGATAGCTCCCACGGAAGAAGGGGAAAAGAAGAGGAAGCGGCGAGGGCAGCGGAGGGTCCCATGCATTGAAATCCAGGTCGGGCAAGCGGTTTTCCTTGGCGGTTCGGGTTACGCTACCGGCAGTGCCTCCAGTATGGGACAGGCGTTTTCCTCTTCCACGGAATCAGATGAACGGATCAGGATCTTGAAAATTTAAATGAATCGAAGCACCCCCTAATCGCCAATCTAAATCCCCGGTCCAACAATTGCGCCTCCATTCGCCGTGCGTCATCCACTCATCGCCGCCGATGCTCAAACCTGCCACCGCTGCTGCTCAAGCCCGCTGCCGCCGATACTCAGACCCACCGACGCCGCTACAAAGATCTGTCATCATCCCCACCACTGCCGACACTTGTGCGCCTCCGTCACCATATGGCTGTTTTTTGGTCCCGCCGTGGTCGAAGTCGTGAGCCACCACACCGAAAAAAATCAATCCCCGATAGAAGCCAATCATCGCCGCCGACGAAGTAAATCACCGACACTGCTACAAAGATCTGTCGTCATCCCATCCACTCCACTACGGGCTAATATCCGTAGCTGTTGGTCTTAAAATCTACCATTGCCATGAATCCGTTATGGAAGTCCACCCCTGTCATACCGGAGGTTTCTTTTCATTGATGGTACAACCAAGCTCACTAGGTCCCAGTAGCAAAAAGCACTGTGGATGTGGTGCTTTACTCTAGATCGGAGCCTGCCACTCCTATGGTTCATCACTGCCACTGCAATCGGAATATGGGTGCCACTATTCTGCTAAAAATCAGCTCCTTTTCCAAAGGAAGAAGAGGGACCCACATCAACAACCCCGTATCCGCCGGCCGCCAGCTGGTTCCGGCCAAATCTGATCAAATTCCTCTTCCAGCCCAACGACGGGATTGTCAACCCCAAAACCGGTCTCCACTTTGGCAAGATGCTGTTTGCCCAGCTTGTTCATCTCATATCCAGAGACAAAAAACGAAAGAGGGAAGGTGCATATGTTGTGTCACATGCATTCATCACCCTTTTTTATAAAGTGGGATGCTTTGGATGTATCAATAAGGTGTAGGGCCCATCATTGGGCATATTTCGTTTACTCTGTACGAAAATATGCGGGGGAAAGGAGTTGGAAGAGGTACTATCAGAGGCCCACCATTAATTAATGAAAGAAAAGGGAAGCACGTGATTTTGGAAGAGTATGGAAAGGAAGGAATATGGGATTCACATGAGGACATCATGCCATTATTCATGGCCCCACAATCATGGATGAAAAACTCATGGGCCGATTCTCATGTCTCCCTGATGGTGTAAATATAGCTGGACGGGTTAACCGGGTTTAACCTGGACACTAGACTCGTAATATAAAACACACAACAAGAACACAAAGTATGACCTAGACCGGGTAAATCTCCTCAGTCCGAAATATATTTCTTACTCTGTCTCAAGAGTGTACTAGTTTTTAGTGAGAGAAAGAATGGATCCCCTCCTCTATCCAATATCATCATATTTATAGAGGAGGATTTGTGACCTTCCCCTGTTCATCCATGGACAAAATAGGAAACCCGGAGGAAGGTCACTGTACATAATCAATCTACTATTCAATCAATGAATTTAGCAACTATAAGCCAAGACATGTACTGTTCAATCAAAGACTATAAATGGATATTCTCAATCCAATCAGCCCTGCAAAATGACAAACATTCCNTCCCTCGATCTCATACGTGGTTCACCATGCCTGAGATACTGGACCAATGTTTGCAAAGTAAAGTGACATGACCGGTCACCTTCTCTCAAAGGTTACCCGGTCATTCTTTGTGCTCAACCCGTCTCTGGTCTTCTAGAATGTCCTTTGTAACATTAGGCAACATTTTGGCTATCGCCCAAAATGTGACCGGTCACTTTTTTAGTGGAAGTGACCGGTCAACTTTTGACCCGTCCCAATGGAAGAGTTAACCTCATTTGGTGATAGATAAAAGTGACCGGTCATATTTTGACCTGTCCCTTTCGGTTGTCCGGGTCGGGTATAGGGATATACCCATCAAGAAGTCCTCCACTTACCGGCCTTGTGAGGAAGTCATCAAGGGCGGGAAGTATACTTATGTTAACCCATCACCTTTGAATTCAACAAGTCTTCTCTCATGACCTATCCTTTTGAATCACCGGGTCTCTCTCATGACCTGTCCTTTTGAATCACCAAGTCCCTCACATGACCTGTCCTTTTGAAATCATCAAGTCATTCCCATGACCTGTCTTTCTTTGAAATCATCAAGTCATTCCCATGACCTGTCCTTTTTTGAAATCGTCAAGCCATTCCCATGACCTGTCCTTGTTTGAAATCGTCAAGCCATTCCCATAACCTGACCTTCTTTGAAATCATCAAATCTTTCCCATTACCTGTCCTTCTTTGAAATCATCAAGTCATTACCATGACCTGTCCTTCTTTGAAATCATCAAGTCATTCTCATGACCTGTCCTTCTTTGAAATCATCAAGTCATTCACATGACCTGTCTTTCCTTGAAATCATCAAGTCATTCTCATGACCTGTCCTTCTTTGAAATAATCTAGCCTTTCTCTTGACCTATCCTTTCTTGAAATAATCAAGCCTTTCCCTTGACCGAAAATGAGGTTTTGGGTATGATTTCTTTCTTCTAACCTGGCACTTTGGGGCTCCTCAGACCTGGCACTTTGCGGATCATCACACGTATCACTTTGGAGTTCATCAGACCTGATGCTTTGGGGTTCATCAGACCTGGCACTTTGGAGATCGTCAGACCTGGCACTTTGGAGATCATCAGACATGTCACTTTTGAAATTATCAGGCCTTCCTCTTGGACCTGTCACTTTTGTAATCATAAAGTCCTCCTCTCAGACCTGTCACTTTTGAAATTATCAAGCCTTCCTCTCGGACCTGCCACTTTTGAAATCATCAAGTCTTCCTCTTTGACGTGTCACTTTTGAATTCGTCAAGTCTTCCTCTTTAACCCCTGACTTTTGAAATCGTCAAGTCTTCCTCTTGGATCTGTCACTTTTGAAATCGTGAAGTCTTCCTCTTTGACCTCTCACTTTTGAAATCGTCAAGTCTTCCTCTTGGACCTGTCACCTTTGAAATCGTGAAGTCTTCCTCTTTGACCTCTCACTTTTGAATTATTAGGAAATCCAAATGTTAACTCTAAAGAATTAACCGGTCTACCTTTTTTTAAGACTTCTACCATGTAAGTCCTCCTAGTCCTCCTAGAGTACCCGGTCAAGTGCCCGGTGCACACCCTTCCAAAAGCACCTCCGGAGTGAGGGGGTTAAGTCACCCAAGGTTCCAGTCCAGCTCCCTGACAAAGAGGTTGGCCACTCTTCTTTCCGGCCCGTCCCAAGGGTGGAAGGGTCACCAATTAAGGAGGCTTTCATGGTCTGGTCCCATTCCTTTGTGCTTGGTTGAACTTCTTGAATGGTTAAATTTTTTGCATGGTTATTTTCCTTCCTGGTCCCCCTTTGAAGTTGACTGGTTAGACTTGCATGGTTGTTTTCTTGCTTGGTCCTCCTCTGAAATTGCCTGGCTAGACTTACATGGTTGTTTTCTTGCTTGGCCCTCTCTTAGGAATTCTTTTTAGAATGTCTCGGTCATCTCATGCCCTGGTCTTGAAAACATCCAGGTCTAGTAGGCTTCGTTGAAACTTTTGAAGGACGCCCGGGTTAGTAGGTCCTGGAAACGTCCTGGTCTAAACTTTTATTCTCATCAACTCCTTAAAGCGACCAGGGCACTTTGTGCAAGTCTTGAAAACGTCCGGGTTATATCATGTCCTGGTCAAGTGCAAGTCTTGAAAACGTCCAGGTCATTTCATGTCCTGGTCAAATGCAAGTCTTGAAAACATCCGGGTCATCTCATGTCCTGGTCAAGTGCAAGTCTTGAAAACGTCCGGGTCATCTCATGTCCTGGTCAAGTGCAAATCTTGAAAACATCCAGGTTATCTCATTAACTATCCTACATCTCATTCACTGCATCAACAAGGTTAATCAAGACGATCATAAAAGAATATGGTAACGGGTTTCTTTAATGCGCGTGATCTAAAGCTAACACATTTAAAATAGAAGAGAAGAGAAAGGTGAGAAAAGGGGAAAAAAAAAAGGAGTAAAAAAACCTGAAAAGCAAGAAGGCCTTATTAGAAGGAAGAGAGAGGCATTCCCTCAAGAAGAAAGGGGGGGAAATTAAAGTCCCGAGGGAATGTGGGAAGAAGAGGAAAGGGGCGCGCACAGGCAGAGAAATAAGTAACATTGAGAAATTTGAGGAGGAGAAACTCTTGACAGAAATTCAATGGCTCCCCCACAAATTTGAGGGACTATATTTTCTTGTGGCTTTTTTGGACCTTTATATATGTGGGTAATTAAACCCCTCCAAACCACATTGGTGTACCATGCAACTCATGTCATTTTAATTTGTTGATTAGTGTACATTAATTAAGTAATAGGAGTATTAATTATTATTATTCTTATTGCTCGGTTCAAACACGTTAATTAAAGCTCATCGTATTAATTTAGAGGAGTGCTTTAATGGCCAACCTGAGATCCACAAATGTTTTTCTGGTTCTTCTCACATATTTCCACATTTTTTTGTTTTAAAAAGTACTTCCGGCTTGCATTATAAAATTAACTTCTTGTTTTAATCTACGATGTTTGATCAATTTTATTTTCAATTCAATTTTAAAAACTATATAAAAAATTCTACAAAGCAATAGTTGACATGACTACATTATTGTATCAAATGATTATTGCCTGAAACCTGACCAAAGTCGGGCCGGATCGGTCCTTATTCAGTTCACATTATTTTCTTATTCGGATTTTGGTCTGGTCCACCAGGTTTCGATCTGGACCAGTGAACCGATTATATTATATTTTTTAAATTCTTTTTCAATATAGTTTTAAAATATTGTATTTTTTAAGGTTTTTTTATACTTAAAATTAATTTGACTTTAATACTAGAAGTTCGTCAAATGTTTTGATTTTATTATTTAATATATTTTTAAATATATTTTCAATTCAAAATAAGATACCAATTCTAATGATATTTAAATATTTTAATATGAAAAGTGTGAAAAGGTAAACATTACCTTTATATTAGGGATCTAATGCATTTCAAATTTATGTACCAATACTATAACTTAAAATTTGTACTTTATCAATAATGAAACCCTAATCAACAAAAATAAACATTGTAAACAATCTCATGAACGAAAATAGTAAAAACTGTATCCGTTTGCCAAAATAAATCGATCCATCAAATGCCCCTTATTCAGTCCTGGTCGAGGTCAGTCCAGGTTTGACCCGATGAACACCCCTAGTGGAGTGATTGGAAATGATGGATTCTATTTGATTTACTGAATATAAGACCATGCTGCATTTACACCAAAAATTGTACCCATTTGTACACTACAGTTATATACAAACATTTTGATGGTTTACACTAACTCAAATTTTGGTGCGTTAAAAAAAATTTATACAGACACAAAGTGCTGATGCGTTAACAAAAATTAATTTTACACTAACATAAAATATTAGTGCAAACCTGCGAGGTACAAAAGGTTGGGCTACAAGTAGCTTTATCTTTGAATATAAGAAAAATTATTTGTTTAACTTTAAAAAAAATAAATTTAGTCAAAATAGAGGTGAACATAGTAACATCCTTGATAAATAAAAAGGTATCAACATGCATTTTTTCTACGTTTAGTTATAGAAAAACCAATTCAACCAAAAGCTCAAATTTTTAATTGTGATCTTGAAAAGATTTTTTATATTCTAACATTAATTTGTGCATACTAATTTTCTTCCTCTCATCTATATTTTCTTCTTTTGATTGTATTTGAATTTGTTTATTGGGATTGTTTTCGTGAAACCTAAAAAAGGGAAATATGACAAAAAGAGGAAGGTGACTTCTTTAAGCCAGGGAGAGTACGCATACACTCCTCCGCGTTGATGTGGAATTGGCAGAGGACATTATGGGATGGAATGATGGATGGATTCAAAGAAAACACACACACACACACACACAAAAGATTAACAAAACGTATACGCCACAAATTACACAAATCATTTCACCATCAAACAACAGTAACACATATCACAACAAACTGTGCACATATCACAACTAGACTAGACTCCCATGGGAGTAGCTCTTTATTTTTTCTGTACCAGATAGACCCTTGGCATTGCAATGTCCTACCTTCCAAAGAGGGATTTAATCCACCAAATGCCCTTGTCATCGGATGATGCCCCCGCCCCTTCCGCATCCGGCGGCGGAGTATCCGAGTGGACCGTCTTGTGGAGCTTGCTGACGTCGTACCCCTCGGCTTTTGCCTTCTCAACCAGCTGGTTGAAAGTCTCGTCGTCCAGACGAGACTCCCGGCATAGTACCTGAGTGGGAGATGTATGGGAGGAAAAAAAAGGGACAGTTTTTCAAAATTAGAGACCAAGAAATCTGATCATTGTTAAGCCCAGACTGCCACATGATAGCCTCTTTATAGTGCTGTCTACCCTTTGGACAGAGATTCCCTTACCATACCCTTACCATATATGAGAACATAATAAGGGGTCAGAGGACCTTAATCACTTGGTCCCCCCACCCAACCACCCAACACACAGAAATGTCCATAACATATTTAGATTAAGTAAAGGTTACAAAGAAGAAATGTTAAAGTCGCAAACAAAAATGACACAAAATTCACAAGCTTGCTATTTCCCAAACCCAATTAAAAGATCAAAATTATCACAGATAATTAAACACTGCAAAATTTCAATCCACAAATGGCAAGTTTGTATAATTTTTGCTTAGGCAAAAGTATTGCACATCTATTCCTGAAGGCAACATAACATCAAGTCCCACTCAACATATTCAGAGATTATTAAAAAAAAGCAGCAAAAGGGACTAGTTTGAACACTTATTCCTTTTGAGAGTGTTTTGGAGCCTAAGTATTGCTCTTTAATTAGGTTTTTATGAAATCTGAAATAGACATAGCCCTCCAAATTACTCCCCAAAACCATTTCTGCCAAAAAGAAATGAAGGTGCTGAGACATGTAATGAGGGTTTACAGAACATTTCAATCACATTTTACTTGTTTTCATCAAACATTCTATTAATCAAAGTACACATTAACCCCCTAAGGCATTCATTCCCCTAGAAAACTCTTTAAAAAAAGATCCAGACTATTAACATTAACACTATGTTTGGTTCAAGGAATTTTGAAGGAAAAGAAAAGAAACTGGTTTTCTCTCATTTTCCTCACTAAAATGGGAGGAATTTGGTTTTCCCTCCAGTTGGTACATTTTGCCTTCTCATTTTCTTTTCCTTCCACCTTTCCTTTCTAACCAAACAAGAAAACTTGTTTTCCACCTCATTTTCTTTTCTTTTCCCTTTTGAATTCCTTGAACCAAACATAGTGTAGGGAATTTGCATGTCAGAATTACTCTAATTAGCAGATACTAAAATGATATACTCCAAATTAAGATTTTTTTAATAAAAAAACAAGAGAAATGGTTCGAAAGGGGCAGGCAATCAATCTCAATTCACAAGATTGAGAATCCAACACACACACACACAGATAAGATTGAGAAGAAGGAAAAAAGGGGAACATACCCAAAGATAGGTTTTGAAAGGATGGCCAACCAGGGCATACTTATAATCATTGTCAATGTAGAGAACCCAGTAGTCACCAGTGACAGGGAAGATGGGAAAGAAAGGGGGCACATAAAACTTGACCTTAAGCTTGGCCTCATCGCTCTTGGGATCGGCCTTGTAAGCGGTCCCCTGAATGAAACCCCTCTTCCCGTTACTCCAAGTCTCGTTCAGCACACTGATCGTGCCGCCGTCTGGGTTGAGCTTGTATGTGGCCCTGGTGTCCACCCCGTTCTTGGGCTGGAAGGTGGACGGGAAGGAGGCGATCTCATACCACCTCCCCATGTACCTCTCCACATCCAGACCCCTCACCACTTCTATCGCTTTCTTGCTGCCCATTCTCGATGTGCCTTTTGGGTGTTGATTTCCAGTCTAGGGTTCTTGGTGACGACGGGTTTTTATTGGGTGTCCTCGCCGATTGACATATATAGGTATACGGCGATGAGGGGGTGGAGTGAACGGGAAGACAGAGGCGCGGGCGACGTGGACATTTGAGGGCCTTACAAGTGACAATGGATAATGCTGCAGAGAGGCGTGATCGCGTGGATTTAGGATGGGATGAGCCCGTTGTTCTCGAACTGTTATGTTGCCACAAATCCACCTTTTCAACAATACCAAGGGTAAAATTAAATTATTTCACATTACGTTTTAAGATTAAGTAATCAAACTTGTGTATATACTCCGTATTCTAAGGGGCTGTGTGTTTCAGCCTCTTAATGGTTCAGATGTCTGAATGGTTCAGTACTTAATGGTTCAGACTGTTTGTTTCAGCCTCTTAATGATTCAGATGTCTGAATGGTTAAGAGATTTGCCTCTGAATGGTTAAGTATTATACAGAGTCTGAATGGTTAAGACCTCTTATCTGAATTGATCAGACATTTGCTTCTGAATAGTTAAGCAATATACTAGCTCTTAATGGTTCAGACCTCTTACTGGTTCAGCACTTAATGGTTCAGACCTCTTACTGGTTCAGCACTTANTGTTTCAGCCTCTTAATGGTTCAGATGTCTGAATGGTTCAGTACTTAATGGTTCAGACTGTTTGTTTCAGCCTCTTAATGATTCAGATGTCTGAATGGTTAAGAGATTTGCCTCTGAATGGTTAAGTATTATACAGAGTCTGAATGGTTAAGACCTCTTATCTGAATTGATCAGACATTTGCTTCTGAATAGTTAAGCAATATACTAGCTCTTAATGGTTCAGACCTCTTACTGGTTCAGCACTTAATGGTTCAGACCTCTTACTGGTTCAGCACTTACCGATTCAGAAGTTGCCAAACAGCCCCTAAGTTTGTCCCTTTTTTAATTTTTCCTACTTGCATGGTAAAAATTAAAAAGTCTAAAACAAAATTAATAGATTAAAGTAATTAAAAAGTTGTATTTTTTTATTCAATCGATATGGAAGGTGCAGTCCTAAGTATTTCGGTCCGGTCTGATCCAAACTCGAATAAATTTAGGTTTTGTCTTCGGTCGTGATTTTGTTCCAATCGATTTTCGATCCAGTCTGAATCAGTTCGGTTTGGTCCGGTATTGGAATAATGAACATCTCAACAAACTTGTCCACTTTTGAAACAAAGTAAGAAATATAAGTTCGGCCACATGAAGTCTTTCCAGATCTAGGTCACTCTTGTTGTGTTCTTACATCTTTATGTGTTTTCCTTACCCGATAGAGTTTGTTTAATCAGTCAAGCTCGGTCAAACTTACCCAGTCAAATTTACACCATCACTCCCGATCACCGACAACTCCCCACTGCATGTATCACTAATTAAATCATGCTTTAATATTTTCAAAAAATTTCATTTCACATATCAGGGCGCATATTAAATTTCTTAGATTTCATAACTCATTTGAGTATCATATAATACACCTCCAAAATTTACTAACAGACTCCAAACTTTTTACTTTTTTGAAAACCATCCAAAACTTTTTATTAATTGCAAACATCAAAATCTGTTTTGAAATACTTCGTATATTCATTCTGTTCTAAATTAATCATCTCACTTATTTAAAAAAATCTCATTTTATTATTTACAGGTCAAGCCTTTTTTTATTTATTGATTTATTTATTTTCATTAATTACTTGTTAAAATAATCTAGTCATGTCAATGCAAATTTTTTATATATAAATGTTGTAATATTAATATTTATTTTTAAAAAACCAGATTGAAAAAAGGGATCAATATCCACAAAGAGAATTAGGATGGGGTGAGCCCATTGTTCTCAAACTATGTTGCCACAAATCCATCTTTTCAAAGAGAATATTCCTAGAGTTACAAAATAAACATTTACAAAATTCACAAATTTACCAGATAGGTAAAGTAATAGATTCAAATAATGATATTAAATAATTAAAAAATAAAAGCTAAAATACACAAATGATAAATTTGTGAGTATGTTTTTATGTTTGACTCTAGCATTACTCTTTCAAACAATACCTCGTAGGCTAGAAGTTAATTCCAAATTCACCCCTCATTTTGTTTTATCCAAAATACTTAATCTGTCCTATAAAGATGTTCCCATTTTAATTTTAGGAAATTTAGGATAAGATATTTTTGTACTGACTTTCTAAAAATACCTTTGATGTATGTGATGTATAAAACTAGGATGTGATTGATAGATTATTAGTATAAAAAAGTATTATGTAATAGTTAGGTTAAGAATTAGTAAAGGTAAAAATGGCTTTTTAATAGAAAAGGGAAAGAGTTTGTGGGATAAGAAAAAAAGAAAAACGAATGCGTTTTTAGGACGCAAGAAGTATTTTTCATATTTCGCAAAGTCAAGTAAAATTTAAAATTTTCAATTTATTTTATAAAAAAATTAATATAGAAATAAAAAATTAAATTTACATATTTAAAAATTACGTTAAAAATTCTTCAAAACAAGAGGTGGTAAGATTATTTATTTTATCAAATAATCGAAGAAAAGAAAAAAACAAAAATTCTCATAAACTTTGAATAGTGGGCTATGAGAGTCTTTTATTAAATGAGATAGATTTAGCTAGAAATAATTTTTTTTATTATTGATAACATTTCATGGGGAAACATGTTGCATAGTAGCAAGGAAGCTATCTCAAGCTACTCCACATCTAGTGGTCGATCCCCACCTTTCTTCATAAAAAATTAAGATTATAAGATTTGTTTGATATTACACTGATGTATGTGGGAGTCATTAAAAAACATTTTTTTAGACTATTATAAACAAGAAAAATAGAACTGATAAGAAAACATCTATTTACAATTAAAGCATATAACAATAAGGTATTTTAAGCTCTCATAACCGATTAAGGCTCTGTTCCATTCAACTTATTTTTTCTGATCTGATCTGATTTTATTAAGTTCTGATCTGATCTGATTGGATCTAATCTGATCTAGTATGATCTGATTGGATCTAATCTGATCTGGTCTGATCTGATTGGATCTAATCTGTTCTGATTAATTATGATTTGATTTATAATTTAAATCAATAATTTGATTTGACTTTATAATAACGTTTGAAAATTGTAATGATAATTCTTTTCTATAATATAATCAATGTTTTTTATTTTATGATTATTTTTTAATAAAATAAAATTAGTTAATTCATATATTAGAATAATCATTCATCTTACAATGTAATAATATTTTTTATTTTATGATTATTGTTTTGTGAAATTAGAATATTAATTTAATATTTTAATAATTACTTCATAGATACATTAGAATAAATATTTAATTTATGTATACATTAAAAATTGATTAAATTTAGATAATCAATATATAGAAGAGATAGTATTTTTATTAAAATGTCTTATCCTCATAAAAGATCAAAACTTTAGAAACTCAAATTACAGGTAGCAATAAAAATGTATTTTAAAAGTAGAATTAGATTGACATTGTCAATGTATTTTAAAAATAATTTTTCTGACGTCTAATAATTAAAGATTACTTTCTTAGTTTTCTATTTAACTTGTTTATAAAGTTTATTCTTTTTCTTTTTTAAGTATAATAATAATAATACTGATAATAATAATAATAATAATAATAATAATAATAATAATAATAATAATAACAATTGATGGTGTAAATTACTTGACCGGTCAAACTATACTAGACCGGGTCTAGAATAGTTTGGTCGATTTGGCAAAGTAAGAAAGGTAAAAACACGCAGATTGACCGGTAGGACTTTAGGTGGAACACCTGTAGCCCAATTTATATTATAACGGAGAATGCACGGGTGCTTTTACAAGGGAGTTTTAGAGAGAATGAATTCGGATCCCCTCTTTCTGAGGTTTACATGAGTATTTATACTAGGCTAAGGGGACAGGACCACGTGCGCCCACGTGGGGGCTCGATGCTGATGTGGTGCGAGGTGACTGGTTTCGTCCTTGAGCTGCCTTGTCGCCTTGTGAGGGGGATTATTCCCTTTGTCGAGTAGTGCCTTGGATGGATTCTTCAGCATCTCCAGCTGTCCTCTCCTGACATGGGTCGCTACACGCCAAACCCTCGTAGATTCTCTTCTGCCGACACTTTCCAACCCTAGAAACTACACCGGGTAATCTCCGAGGGATGAATTCATCGAAGTGTGGGAACAAATAACATGACAACGTAGTTTGACCGGTATACTTTTTCGTGAAGTATACCGGTCATCTTTTGGCCGATTATATATCGTTTTGCTGACGATTTAAGTTTCCCTTCAAAACTTTTGAGATTGACCGGTCAACTAATTGGTCTTCTCCTTTGACCGGTCGTGGGTGGAATACACCCATCAATAAGCCCTCCACTTCTCGGTCATGCAATTTGTCATGAGCGAGAAGTAAAAAGTCTGAAATAGGACTCCAATTTTGAAATTTTGGCCCTTCCCGCCTAAAATTTTTGAAATTTGAATTTCAAACTCTGACTTTTGCCACGTGTAGCGCATCAACCGTTGCAATCAGTCGGCTGCAGACCCGTCGTTTCGCCTGCCAGTGGGTCATCATTGCGCCGCCTGACGCGGCGCAACCTGGAGAGGCCACGTCACTTCTTTCAGCCCTCCCCTTCCTATATAAGGGCCTCCACCCCTCTTCTTTGTTCACTTTCCGCGATCAAGTCTCAGAGCTTTCACCGGTCAAGTTCCTTCTCTTTGCTATCCAGCCCTCCGAGTCAAGTAAGTTTCCCCTTCCTTCTCTCTTTTCTTTCCCGGCCATGTCTTCGTTTAGCGATAGGATCTCGTCCTCGGAGGACTGCTCCTCTGAGGATTCCAACTCATCTTCCTCGACCGGGTCTTCTTCTCCTGAATCCACACCCGGTCAGGTTCCCAACTCCTCTATTCCCGACCCGCACCCTGTAAATCAGATGCCCGGTGAAACTTTCGTGGGGAGGGATGACCCGGTCGATGACGAACCGGGCCCCTATGACCCTGAAAACGAAACCCGGGATGCGTGGGAGGAGCGGCTTCATGCTGCCGGTTACTTCCCGCTCCCCACCTTCTACGTCCTTGACATCCCTTCCCGTGTATCCAAAATCGCTTTGAACAAAATTCGTAGGAGGCTCCCGGATGGGTATACCCTCCTGTATGAACCTAAGTGGCCCAACATTGTTGAACCCCACCGGGAGGATAGGATAGGGTTCCACACCATATCACTGGATGCGGGCATAGTTTTTCCCCTTCGCCCTCTCCTTACCGAAGTCTGCCATGCGTTTAGGATTTTGCCCGGCCAAATAACTCCTAACGCCCACCGGTATCTTCATTCCTTTGTAAATATTTGTACTCATCTGAAAATCTTCCCCTCTTTGCGTCTTTTCCTTTTTTGCTTCGAAGTCCTACCGGGCGGATCCGGCTGCGAAGGTTTCGTATTCTTCAAAGCCCGTACCGGTAGGAAGTTCATTTCCGAAGTCCCCCAGAGTAACCGGGGATGGAAGGAAAAGTTTGTTTTCATCGAGTTTCCCCCCTTCGTCACTCCTCTGGCCGGTCTGAAATGGAATGACCATCTCCTCGACCAAGAGTATGCTGCACCGGCCTCCTCCCCAGACTTGGAAGCGAATCTTGAGATCCTCATGCGCGGGGATCCTCAAACCGGGAGGATCTTCCATCAAGGCAGCTGGGTTTGGAGGGTAGAGTCGGGTGGTGAGGGTACCTCCCATGCCCAGGAAGCAGCGGGGCGCGGGGTACCCTCCCCGGGCAACACTGCAGAGGCTGAGGGCTAGAACCACCCAGGTACTTTTCACTTTTCTTGTGATTCATAGTTGACCGGTCAAACTACTTGTACTTAACGGTTTTAGTTTCTTTTGCAGATATGGAGTTCGAAGAGTTCGCCATCCCCGACGACCAACCAGCGGGGGACACCGGGGGCTCCCAAGCCAACCCTGCCAAAACCTTCCCGGTCCACCAAGAGACCGTGGAGATTTTGGATGAGGACGAACCCCAGGACAACCGGTCTAAAGGGAGGGAAAAAGAGAAGACCGGTCGCCGGACCAAGAAGGTGGCCACCAACCATCCCTCTGCCATGAACAAGAGGCAGAGGACAGACTCCGGCGCGGCCTACCAGACCGTGGAGGAGGCCTACATCAACCTTGGCCTTCGGCTGAGGGAGGTAAGTCATCTCTCGTCACCGGTTAACCTTTCCCTTATGCTACACAAAGATTAACCGGGTTATTATACGTTGTGCAGGTTGGGGAGATAGGGCCCGTCACCGCCGACCGGTTGGGAATGGACTCTCCAACCGAGGTGGCCCTCCTCAAGAGCCAAACGGATGAGCTGGCCAAGTTGTCTAAGATGGCCGGATCCTTGGGGGCAGAGAACACCCGGCTGAAGGAGGAGAATGGCCGGCTGCTGGACGAGGTCTCCAAGACAAAAAGAGAGATGGCGGAGAGGGAAGAAAACTTCCCCGGGCGCGCAGCCGCCTGGGTTGAGGAAAATAAGGCCGAAGCTACCCGGGTTCTGACGGCGAGCCCAGAAGCTACCATGGAATCCTTCAGGCTTCTATACCGGGAGTCTGAAGGAAAGAAGATGATTACCGCCGTTGGATCTTTCGGATTCAAGTGCGGGCAAAAGAAAGACCGGGCAGCCTCCCACCGAATCCTCCTGAAGAGAGACCCGGCCTTCACCGCGGCTTCCTACGGCCTGGCTCCCATCTCGGAGGAAGAGCCGACTCCCCCTTTTCCCCTTGACTGATCCCCCCGGCTGCGCCCGGTTGAACTATCTTGTAAAACTCTGAACTCATTTCCCCGGGAATGCCCAGTGTAGCTGTAAAACACTTAACTTTTTTTTGTGTTATGCTTTAATGCAATGCTTAATTTCCGTACCGGTTTAGCTTCCATATCTGCTTGCTTCTTGATTGATACTTTGCCCTTGCTTCTTAGAACGCCATCATAGGATATTCGACCGGTACAGTAATCAACCACTATTGTGTTCGACCGGTATAACTTCAAAGTTCTCTCTGGTCACTTCATTTCAAGGATCAGCCCGAGTAACTTTGACCGGTTAAACTTCAATTTTTGCTTTTCGAACGTCTTCATCATGGTGGCCAACTTAAAAAGATTGACCGACCGAACTTTACTTTGGCATTTTGGATAGCTTCACAAATTCTTTGATAAAGTTTAATTTGACCGGTGAATTCCCACTCCATGGTTTGACCGGTCAACTGCCTTGCCTTCCGATGGACGTAGAACTTTCGAAGTTCTGTTGTGCCCATACCCGACCGGGGTATTCTTTTTTTTTTATATCGGTAGGTTGTAGATGGAAACACCTGTAACCTAGTAATTCTTGAAGCATCCTTAACCGGTAAGAGTACTGGAGATTCAACCATGTCGAATGGTTTCGAACCCTCTCCAAGGTCCAAATGCACCCTTCTTCCAGGGCCCCCTCTTCCGGGTGATTAAGTATTTTAATGGCCCTTTGATTTCTACCATCCCGGGGAGGCCTTAGCTCACCCCCCGTTCAAGTCTTCCCTGAGGAGGGGGAAACAGGATGCGCCGCGGTGGATGATCCCCTTCTATTTCTTTTAATGGGCATCTTTTAGTCCCCAATCAATTTGACGGCGCCGGCTGATTCCCCGACACCAGTCAAATCTCATGGGCCCGTGTAAGTACGGTTCGAACCTTCTTCCAGGTCCATCCCTCTTGCAGGCATACCCTCTTCCGGGCCCCTCTTCCGGGTTTTAATATTTTTTCTATTATACTGAGCAAGACCGGTGTAGTAACCAGCATGCCAGGTCCGGGCCTGTGTCTCAGTTGGCTTATCCAAGTGGATTCGATCCACCCAAGAAGCCCTCCTAGGATAGGTTCGACCTATCCATTCTGCCGCTACCAAGTAGAGTATTGAACATCACTTTGATTGATAATGTAGTTAGGCCTCGTCTAGTATTACAATCATTTGTAGAACTTGCGAAGATGGTGGGAATTCCAAGTTCTTTCTACGGGTACACCATCTAAAGTTTCTAACCGATACGTTCCTGGTCGAATGATGGCTCTAACCCTGTATGGGCCTTCCCAGTTTTTTGCCAGCTTTCCTCCATCGCCGGGTCTACTTGCTTGTCTTCTTCGTAGGACTAATCCCCAACTTGGAAGTACCGCGGCCCAACCTTGTTGTCATGGTACTTCTTCACAACTTGTTGGTATGTACTCATTTTAACTTCCGCGGCCATTCTCCGCTCTTCGACCAAGTTGAGTTCGGCCAAGTGATCTTCCTCATTCTGATGGGGTTGATAATTTGACTCCCGAAACGTGGGGAATTCAGCTTCGATGGGCAGCCTTGCTTCACACCCATAGGTTAGGGAGAATGGAGTTTCCCCATGAGCCCTCCTGGGTGTTACTCGGAATGCCCATATGATGTGCGGGAGCTCCTCTAGCCACTTGTTTCCTGCTTCTCCCAACCGTTTCTTCAAACCATCTACAATTGTCCGGTTGGCATTTTCGACTTGGCCATTCCCTTGGGGGTACGCCACCGAGGAGCGATTGTGCTTGATTCCGAAGCCCTCCAAGTATTCGGTGAACCTCGGATTTCGGAATTGTGGGCCGTTGTCGGTGATGAGGTTCATGGGTGCTCCAAACCTCGTGATGATGTTCTTCCAAATGAATTTCTTGCATTGTTGCGTGGTAATGTTGGCCAACGCTTCGGCCTCGATCCATTTGGTGAAGTAATCGATGGCTACGATTACGAACTTCTTCCCTCCTTGGGCGATCGGAAAGGCTCCAATGATATCAACCCCGAATCTAGCGAACGGGATGACATTCGATACGGGGTGGTAGTAGGTCGCCGG